AGGACAACTCGACTCCCGCGTGCGCGACGTCCCTCGCCACGCCCAGCGCGTCATGTTACGATTGTCTTGTCATATACGGACAATAAAGACACTTTTTATTGGCTATCATTAAATGTCCTATTCAAACCAATTTCGATGAACAGAATTGAATAGCTCGATGTTCATGTGGAAGGAGGATTTGGCAACGATTGTGAGTGGAAAAAAGAACGAGGGGAAAAAATGAACAAAATATAATAATTTCATCAGAAACCGGTGAACACAAGGTTCTACCACGCAATGCACCACCTGTTCAATAGAATAAGTGAAAAGCAGGCAACAAAAAATTTAGAGTTAATCGCTTCAGAAGTCATTCGTTACTATATACAAGGCATTTAATAAGATTTCTTTCTTATTCTCAACGATGATGACAGAGAATTAAGCTGATGTTTAGTACTTTAATTAAATATCACAGTATCAACGGTTACACGATATGAGAGCGCTTTTCGGTTACTATAGCGATCACTTTCACATAAACTATTAACAGCAGTCAAAAAATGTAACAATAATGAACATGACGCAGACAACCCGCAAAAACAGAAGAAGTAAATCTAATCATAACCCTGAAGGTTTCGCCATCGTCGAGTCGGTGTGACGCACCAACTCCGTCTGCGCCACAGCACCGGTTTCGTCTTGAGAGAACGCATAACCATCTGCAACATACACAATCAGATTCTCCGACCAATATTAGAAGCCCCGCCCACCTCACAGCAGCCCCACCTACTTCTGAAAAATGGGGCAGATCTGCAGGCTCAACCAAGCTGGTAGGTTATGGTCTCGCTCGTCACTCGGACTACCGTCACCCGGAACGAAAACATCTTAGAAAAAAGTAGTATGGAGGTCTACGGCGCCTATTTTTCCGCATGGTGGGGGCGGGCAGAGGTGGGATTTTCTCGCGGCTCGGAAAACTTCTCTCAAAAGTAAATACGTTCATCCTCTCCAGCGATCAGGTACCATCCACCAAATGAGATTCTCCCAAAGACCTACACCCTGATTACGACCCCTCTAAACTCCCCCCCCCCGGCGCAACCCCTCTCACAACCTCCCGACTATTTTAGAAAACATTGCCGTTGCGGGAGGGTAGTGAATAACCCGAACAGCTAGAGGAAACAGTAGTTTCGCTGCGCCATCCACTAGAGAGGAAATATAGCGCGCGAACTGGGAAAGTCAACAATTGTAGAATTTTGCCCGACGACGAGTACGGCCCCTCCCTCAGCGATCAGATAGGACCCTTGCTAATAGATTCCGTACGATACCCTGCTGCTGACCCTGAAGACTGGTGAATTGTGGTGAATCATATAGATCTGGTGAATCCCCTGAAGAATTCTCCAAACCAATACGTACACCAACTTTCCTTCTGGCATCTTCTTTCCAAGGCCGCTTCTCCGAAACTATGAATTCCCACATATGAACGCTGCCTTGCCGACGATATGAATGAACACCATGTAGTTTCAGGGTACAGCATCGTTGTTGGAACACATGGGCGGGTCGTATTTTTCCGCTGGGGAGGGGGGAGGAGGGGGGTCGCATTTAGTCGTTTTTCGGGAGAGGGTCGTATATGGCTTTAAGAAAAATTCGCCGCGTTGGGAGGAAAGAAATTTTTCTAGGTTGTTGACTTTTCGTGATTTTTCCTGTTTCATATGTACCATATACCCCTCCCTACCCCTCCCCTCTCCGCTCTCCCCACTCGATAGCAAACCTTTTGCGGGAAAACTGGAAAATGTGGGAAATTGGTTGGTAGGTGTTGGGGAAGGGCACACATCACGCTGCCGTACCCTATGTAGTGAAGGATGCCCAACAAAGCGCTCGTGTTTTTGCTGTTCAATCCCCCTCCCCTTCCCCCCCACTTCCAATTCATAAATGCCGACTTTACGTAAACAGAAATCATCAATGCGCCGAGTGCAGTCAATCCCATGGGAGATTAGAGGAACGGATAGAACAAGTTCTACTCTGAAGGAGAAATGTCGCCGCTACTGGAACGTTTTCTACACCCTCCCCTTTCACAGGTCCTTTACGCTCTTCTTCCTAACACCCCTGTTGTTGAACATTATTATTTCTTACAGAATAGTGGGATCCCCGAATCAACTTCACTTCAATAACTGAAAACAATCCTCCACTGAAATTGTTCCAAATATTCGAAAACAATTATGAACAGTTGTTCACTCACATCTAGCCTGTTCCGCAAGTGACAAAGATGAGTCACTGAGTCGCCGCTCAGAACGCATAGAATCACGAAGAAGGCGAACACCCTCCATTACAGTTGAAGAATAACTGCAAATAAACTGTTCAAGAACATCATATAGGTTACTGCTGATGAATCCACTG